ACAAAAAACGTACAAATGTCCTTTTGCTGCTGTTCAATGCGACGAGCCTGCCATTTGTGTTAGTATATATGTATGTATATATAGGGGTATTCTTGTTATTATATATAGGATGCGAAATGTCAATTAAATGTTGTTTACAATAATCAATTTTGCATTTGCTTTTGCTTTTGGGTTAAATTGTGGCTTAAAATTTAATGAATAGTTGGTTTGCCCTTTAGCTGTTGTTGTTGCTGCTGCTGCTGCTGCTATTGTTGTTGCTTGTTTTTTTTATTGGCAGTTGCGAAAACGACGATAGATGCTCTGCACATATACAAAGACACATTTTTTTTCGGGTCGACTCATCTCAACCATATCTTCCACGTCTAGCAGAGGAGCAATGCCAGCTTTTTCGCTGTAACAGAGATAGCCAGAGATAGATATATATCGATAACAATTAACAGAATTTTTTTGCTGCTGACGGGCATCTGCTGATACTTACTCAGCCACGCTAAAGGCCAGCTCAAAGTTGTGTTTGCGAGTTTGTTTGGTTAGTTGACTGTAGTCAAATGCATCTGGCAAGAAATGATGTATCAGCGCACAAAAGGCCAAGCCGTCGGACCAGCTCGAGCTAAAGTTGCTTATTTGGACGTTCTGTGAATAATAAATGTCAATTACGATCAGTATGCGATATTTTTGGCCTCATTTTTTTTTAGAGCAGGCAGAGCAGCTTTAAACTTTTATATTTATGTTTAATCATTATTATTTTTTTTAGCAGCAGCAGCAATTAAGCAAATAGTTGTTGTAAGCTCCAGCCCCAAAAAGCTTTTTTTACAACGACAACAACAACAGCAACAATTAAGTTAAATAATAATTAGAATAATAATTTTTTTTATAATATAAGCAGGTGTACGGCAGTAACGTTTACAGTTACTTTAATGTCAAGTTTTTTTGAGTTGCGCCTCTGCTTTTTGAACGCTGCTTCCTCTTTCACTTCATATTCGCCAAGCCGACGGCGACGATGACGGTGACGTTCACCGCTGCTGTGTGTATTCGTGTGTGTGTTTATATGTGTGTGTTTTGTGTGTATGTGTGTATGTGTGTATGCGTGTGTATCATAGATGAGTGGCGCTCAGCAGCTCAGCCAGCGTTCAAGCATTGTTAAGTTTTTGTATTTGCGCTTTTCTTGTATCAAATTTTTTTCTTCATATCTGTTTTTGGGTTTTTTTAGGTTATTTGATTTAGCGATTAGCGTTTTTGTGTTAAACATTATTTGCAATATATATCTAAATGAAAACGAACGGCAGTAAACAACAAATACAAAAACAACAAAAAAATCAAGTAAATCAAGATGCAAAAAAAAAAGAAATTAAGAAAAGGTAACAAATATAACGAACTATTTTAATGGCTGTGGCTTTGCGTTTGCGTTTGGCTGTTTTTGTCTTATTGGTATTTTTTTTTTCATTAAATTTATTTTTTTTGTGTTTTTTAGGTTTTGGATACCTCATATTCCTGCGTTTTGTGCTGACACCACTGCAGAAGTTGATCCTTGACAGTGGCGGCGCGCGCATTTAATGCCGGATCGGTAAATTTGAAATACGGTTGTGCTGAACCGCCTGGGGTCGTGGGTGTGCTTGTTGTTGGAGATGATCTGAACAAATGAGTCAAGGTTGGAGAAGGGGGCAGACGTTTTAGCGAAACTCACACAATTTGTTTATAATTGTTTGTATTTTAACTTTTTCTTTGTACTTTGGTTTTTTGTTTTGGGGGGTGTTCGAATTGTTTAGCTCGTGAGTGTATGTGTCAATGTGCGTGTGTGTGTGTGCATGTGTGGATAGGATTTTTCGGTTAGCAGGAAAAAACAAATTATTAATATTACTGTTATTACTATTCAACGGTACTTTACTGTGTATATATATATATATGTGTGTGTGTGTTTGGAGCTACGACAGGTGCATAAGGTGTTTTAACAGACGAAGAGTAAGAGAGAGAGTGGGAGAGAGAAAGAGAGAGGGAGCAAAAGAGACAGAGACAATCGAAATAAGGAGCTGCGTGCGCAAGCCCAACAGGCTATAGCAAGACAGAAAAACATACACATATGTACATACATAATTACATATGCATGTACATGTTGTAGCAACAATTTACAATTCACCTACAAAAGTAAACCTAAACACAATTGACATTTAAATGCCGTTAACCATCACCAGAAAATGGGCATAAATATATAAGGCGAAATTAGTGAGTGAATACGTGTGTGTGTGCGTGTTTGAGTCTGTGTGTGTTTCTATTGTGATCCTTCACCATCTATGTATGTATGTATGTATGTGTGGGTGCAAAAGATATGCAAACAAAATGTTAGATTAACTAACATTCGAGTTCGAATGCAGTGTTACCAAACGACTCCATAAATTTGCTTTAACATTTTCACGTTTGCATATCCTTTACAATTGGTTTATGTTTAAATAAATATAGAATGTGTTATTATTTTGTAAAGTATTTAATATCTGAAATTGTTTAACTTACTTTTGAGCCTGCTGCTGCTGGGCAGCTTTATCGAGCTGCTTAAATTTGGCCAGCGGCGAGATGTTCTTGTTGTTGGCAGCGCTGCCGCTCACAGTGCGTGTGGTAACTGAAAGTTGAGTTTTTAGGCAAATTTAGTATATTTTGTTGCATGTGTTGTGCTATCGATATAGCGGCTATCGGATTACCTTTTGTTGTTGTTGTGGTGACAATTGCGCCGCCATCTTTTGATTTTGTCTCGGTGCGTTCGCTGGTCGTTGAGCTTTGTTGCTTGTGTTGTGCTGCATGGCGAAAGGTGTTTGTTTGAGAGGCAAGTTGCGAAATAGAAGAAGAAATAATTACAGCAATAAGTCAATGGGCATGCACACACAATAAATACAAATCAACAGCAATTAGGTGAGTTAAAAAAAAGAGTTATTGAAAAAATGTTTGAAGGGAAAAAATTGTGTTAGATAGTTTAATAATATTATTTATGTACTTTTTTTTTTTACATATCAAAATAATATTTTCAATTTTTTGTATCTTGACTAGTCTAAGAGCAGGCAACAATATATATGCGACACACGAAACGAAACACGTAGATAATTAGCAAAAATTGCAAATATTTGTATTTAAAAAAAAATTTTTTTTTTGTATTTTTTAGTCAGCGGCTAGACAATATAGAGTAAAATAAATCAAAAATGGCATTAGAACTCTTGCAGCAAAGAAACACGCGCACAGCCGGCTGTTCCATGCCGCGCGTTCCATCAAAAACAACAACAATTATACACAACGAATAGAAACAAAACGGAAAATGATTCGTGGCCGTTGGCGATTTGGTGGTTGGTGTCTGATGGTGGAGTCGCTGGTGGTGCAGCGGCTACGCTGCTGCTGGTGGAGCTGTTTGCTTGCAGCGATCTCAGAACTCAATAAACTTAGGAACTACAACATGCAAAATAATCTTTATATACAAAATACAAATAAACGAACCAACATGCGAGTAAACAAATGGAATGGAACAAAAATATATCTAGAGCCAGCACAGCTAACTGGGCAGCTAATCGTTAAACAAAAAATGTAGATATATTTATGATGGATGAAACGATAAATAAGAACGCTAAAGAAGGTGGGTGGACGGGAGTAAAATATATATACAGAAAGAAAACTAAGTGAGAGAGAGAGAGAGAGAGAGATAGTGGAGGAACAACATGGGATTTTTGTGTGTGTATGTGTATGTGTGTGCGTGTGTATGTATGTGTATGTATATTGTTTATAACCAACCAGCCAACGGAACGAAACGTAACGGAATGAAACGGAATTAAAACGTTTAAAGCGCTAGATAACTTTTGTACAGTTGTGTATGCTTGGGGGGGCTGGGCTAAGGGGGCAGGCAAAAAGTATATATGTATGTATATATATCTACATATCTATACATATATACATATATATATATTTATGTATATGCAGTTAGGCTGGGCGAAATGTAGCAATATGGTAGTACATGGAACGCGCTGGTAAAAGGAACAACAGCAACAACAACAAGCTGGCAACGCTGTACAGTTGATGTTTGCATTTTTTCACTCACAAATCGTAACGCTTGAAGTTTGTCTTCGGCGTAGCAGTGCGGCTTCACATAAGTATCTTTCATATCGATATGTTATCGATACATTTTGTTTTTCACTTGATGGGCAGCTAGGCTAAGGGCTTTGACTATGTGTGTACATGTGTGTGTGTGTGTGTGTGCATGTGTTGGTATTCGTGTGCGTGTGTGTGTGTGATGAAAAGCAAAAGAAAAACCCCTGCTGTGGTCCCTCCAGCTAACTCCACAGACTCGTCGCAAATGTGGAAACGAAATGGAATTGAAACATGACTAGAAATGGGCTGGACTGGTACGTTTTGCTTGCCTAAGCCTACGCTCAAATTGAACAGTTATCGATAAATTTTAATCAGTACAGTTACAGTCCGACCTACGATGTGCGTCCCTGTGTGTGTGTGTGTGTGTGTATCGTTTGTTGTGTCCAGTTGCGTCTCGCTGGGTGGCTCAAACTGGAATGGCTGCTGTCTGTGTGTATGTGTCTGTCTCTCTGTGTGTGTGTGTGCGTCAACTAAAGAACTTATCGATAAATGTATCGATCATAGGGTAAACGTAGGCATTAAGCGCCCAGAATCAGCTGCTCGAACGCATCCTCCACATTGCTCTCATCCAGCAAATTGAGATGCGCTATGTGCGGCATTGTGGCACTACGACTGAGGCCACCAGCGCCAGCAGAGACCGCTGCACCACCAGCACCACCACGCATCAGACCGAGAGACAGACCCAGGCCAGCGGTGGACACATTACCGTTCGAGCTGGAATTGAGCGAGCTGAGCGATTTGCGAGCCGCTGAAAGCTTTTCGCTTGTTTTCGTTCGATTGATGGCGGATTTGCGTTGCACGCTGCTTGATGTCGTCGTTGTGGTGCGCAGCTCCTCCAGCTGCGGCGACTTCTGCCCGGAGAAGTAGGCCGCAACGGTTCGTTGCTTTTCGCCCAGCTGCTCCTTGTTGATGCCCGCCTCGTACAGCTTCGGCACGGAGAGCGAGTGCCCGGATTTGGTGCGTCGCAGCTCGCCGGGCGATGTGGGCAGCTGTTGCTGTGGCAGCGGCGGCAACTGTTGCTGCTGTTGCTGCTGGCAGATCTGATGCCACGAATCACATTTGCTGAGCCGATTCAAGCGCGAGCCACCACCATTGAACTGCTGCTGCTGCTGGAACTCCTCCTCCTGCGGWCGCCGGCTGAGCGAACTGAACGCGCTCACATTGTTGAACACAATATTCCGGGGTATTTGATCCTCGGGCGTGGGCTCGGCGGCAGCCCCAACTCCTGCTGTCGGCTGCGGTGTCGCTGGCGTTTCCACAATCACTGGCTTGGTGGTTGTCATGTAGCCGGCGGTGCCGCTGCTGGTGCTGCTGATCTGGCTAATCTGGCTGATCTGGCTGATGTGGCTGGTGCTGCTGCTCATGCGCTTGTTCAGCTGCGGACTCTGATACGCGTTGGGCACATAGTGGTGCCGCTGTGGTGGCCCGAATTTCTTCAGCAGTGGTGCATTCTCCTTGGGCAGCGACGACTTCACAATGTCCGGCGTATCCGCCGGCGCCGACGACTTGTACTCGAGCACATTGCCCATGCTCTTACGTCGCAGCTCAAGCAACTGCTGCTGCTGCTGCTGTTGCTGCTGCAGCTGTTGCTGTTCGCGCAGCAACTGTTGCTGGTGTGTGGTGCTGCTCTGATAGGTGGACTCGCTTATCGTATGACTGCGCACGCTCAAACGTGGACGAGCCTGTGGCTGTGGTTGAGGCTGTTGCTGCTGTTGCTGTTGCTGCTGTTGCTGCTGTTGCTGTTGCTGTTGCTGTTGCTGCTGCTGCTGCTGCTGTGGCTGCGGCTTGGGCGCCAACTGTGGCTTGGTGCTGCGATCGACGGGCGGCGGTGGAGTTGGTGGTGCATGCATGGGATTCGCCGTCCAGCTGGTGTGCGGCGAGGTGAGCGATATATTGCTGCTGGCCGTCGAGTGCTCGGAGGTGCGCCTGGAACGTCTTAAGCTCACGCTCGACTCCTGCTCGTCGGCGGAGTCCTCCAGCGGATAGGTGACCACATAGCTCGTCTGCGTCTCGCCCATGTAGTTGGACTGCGGCGCCGGTGGTGCTGCTGCTGCCTTGACGAACTGCGGCTGGCGGTTCGCCTCGTAGCTGCTGAGCTGTGGAAACAGTGGCTCGACCAGCGGTGCCTGGTAGAGGCGTCCGTCCGGCGACAGGCAGCCCGATGGCTTGCTAGGCGAACTGGGCGCGCTCAGTGGTTGCACCGGCAGCGGTGCACGTGTGCTGCTTGGCTTAAGCGGACTCGCACTCTGACCCGGATTCAGATTCAGATTCGGATTCTGACCCGGCCCGCCGCCCAGCTGCTTCATGGTGTAGAGCAGAGACTTGGCCGCACGCGAGTTCCGGCCGTAGACCTCGTCGTCGCTGACGTGGGCGGTGCGGCGTCCGGCCACTGTGACGGCCGTCTGACTGCGTGGCTTGCGCATCACCTTGATCTCGGCGCGATACTCGTGCATATTGTGATCCGAGTCCAGGTCGAGGTCGTCGTCGGTGTTGTCCGTCATGGCGGGCGCCGTCAGGCAGCTGGTGGGGCTGTCCACGGGGCTGGCATAGTCGAAGCGCGCGGGCAAGTAGGTGGGATTCGCATTGGTCAGCACGAGCGGTGCAGCCAGCGGATTCGTCAGCGGCTCCATCGCGCTGCTCAGGCACGGCTGGCTGCGATAATTGGCCAGATTCGTGGCGGTGCGCCGCACGGGCGCATAGTCCGCATACGTGAACGAGATGTTGGTGGGCGGAGGCGGTGCTGGTGCAGCAGCAGCCACATGATTTCTATTCGCATACAGCTCCAGCTCCGGCTGCATGGCATTGGGCAGCGAGGGTCGCTTCTTGAATTCACTCAGCGTCGCTGGCGGCGCCTTCGAACGCAGCGAATTGTGACGCTGCACAAAGACGGTGCTCGGTGGTTGCTGCTGCTGTTCGAGTTGATCGCGCAGCGAACGCTCCTCGAAGTGGTGCGCCTTGCGCTTGAAGTCGCTGTTGTCCACGCGCGGCTTGGCCAGCCAGGGCAGTCCGATGGGCGAGGTGGAGGCGGGCGAGGGCGTGTTGCTGTAGCTAGGGCGCGGCTGCAAGTGCTGCTGCGAGCTCTTGCTGCCAGCAACTGCTGCCGCCGGCTGCCAGCTGTTCGGCTTCTGCGCTATGGGCTTGTAGATATTCCCAGCTGGCGGCTGGCCCTGGTCGATGGGCCTAAAGACGGACTGCGGCGCGTGTATGAACTGATTCAGGGGCGTCTCAGCTGCAGCAGCAGCAGCAGCAGCAATTGTTGCTGCTTGAGCCGCTGCCGCCGCCGCTGCTGCTGCTGCTGCTTGCTGCTGCTGCTGCTGCTGCTCACGTTCTCGGTCGCGTTCACGCTCCCTTTGCTGCTGCATGCGCAGCTCCATTTCCTGCCGCCGCTGCCGCTCCAGCTGCTCCTGCTGCAGTCGCTGGCGCTCGAGTTGCTGCTGTCGCTCCAACTGTTGCCGCTGCTGCTGCTGCTCGTAGTATTCACGCTCCATGCGCGCGCGCTGCTCGCGCTCGAAGCGCGCCTCCTGCTCCAGGCGCAGCTGCCGTTCCAGCTCTTGCCGACGCTGTCGCTCCAGCAGCAACTGTTGCTGCTGCTGTTGCTGTTGCTGCAGTTGCTGTTGCTGCAGCTGCTGCTGCTGTAGTTGCAGTTGCTGCTGCTGCTGTTGCTGCTGCTGTTGCTGCTGCTGCAGCTGCTGATGGTGGTGATGATGGTGATTGGGCGGCTGTGGCGGCTTGCCCTTGGTGGCCGTTGCCGCCGCGCCCGTCTCGAATGTGTGCTTGATGTTGCCGAACTTGTGCGTCCAGTTGGACACGGATCGGGCGCCCGCCCAGCCGAGGCCGCCCTGGTGGCTCTGCTTGTTGATGAAGGCCAGGAACTTGTGATCGTTCTCGGTCTTCGGCTCGAACGGCGGCACCACGTGCTGCACGCGCCGCTTCACGCTCACCTGGACGGCGCGCTTCAGGCCCGGCTGGTGCTGGTGCTGCTGCTGCTGCAGCTGTTGCTGCTCCAGCTCCGAGTCGCTGTCCCCGTCATAGTTCATCTTCAGCTTGGGTATATCGATGGTATTGGCGCGTTTCATCAGCTGTTTCTTGCTGCTGCCGTTGCTGCTGTTGGTGTTGCTGCTGAAGCGCGGCTGGGCTGCCTCGGCAGCGGCATAGCTGGCAAAGCTAACGGCATAGTCGCCCGAGAGCGGACGACGATTGCCATTGCCATTGCCATTCCCATTCCCATTCCCATTGGCATTGCCCGGCCTCAGCAACTGCTGCTTGGGCACAAACTGATTGGGCCTGTAGAGCTGCGTGCTGGGCGCCCCGACGATCGCGCTCGAGCTGGCGTTGCGCTCCAGCGGCAACTGGCTGCTGGCGGGCAGCGGGCGCTGCTGCTCCAGCAGCAGCATGTCCTCCATGTAGCGCCGGGCGTCGGCCAGCTCCTCGCGACTGACGCCCACCGTGTGGCGATTGTTGCGCTGGCGTCGCTTGGCGAAGCGCTGCCTGCCCGCCGCCTGCTGCTGTTCCGCGTCCGGCTGGCCCGCCCCCTCCAGTTCGTCGGCGGCGCTGTGCGCATTGCTGGCGTCGCTCTTCGGCAGCTTCTCGGGCGCACTGAGGCCGCTTTGGAGGCGCGCGATGAGCGCGAGCAGCGCCTGCCGCTGGCTGCCGTCGACGGCCAGCTCCTGGCCCAGCTTCAGGCTGCACTCGAGCCGGCTGAGGGCATCGGTGACCTCGTCGAGCAGGCCGCGGTTCGCGTCGCTGCTGCTGCTGCGCTGCTGCAGCGTGTCGCGCAGACCCGCCGCCAACAGGCGCAAATCCTCGCCGCTCTCCGTGCCCGAATCCTCCTTGGGCGGCACACTCAGCCGCTTCATGCTGCCGGCCTGCTGCGGCTCCTCTTTCGTATCGTTCGCTTGTGTCGTGTCTTTGGTCTTTGATAACTTTTGGCTACTGCTACTAAGGCTATTCGTATTATTAATCGTTTTCCTATTAACGCTAATGCTATGACTAGTTCCTGTTGTTGTTTCTAAAGCTGCTCCAGCTGCTGACTGTGATTGTGACTGTGACTGTGACTGTGACTGAGACTGTGATTGTGACTGTGACTGCGATTGTAACTGTTTCTGTTGCAGTGGCTCTGGCAGGGACTCACCCTGTGCCCCATCCACTTGCTCCTTGCTGAGCTCAACTTTGGCCAACTTTTGCTCAAGCTCTTTGGTTGGCTTTTCCTTTTCCTTCTCCTTCTCCTTCTCTTTCTCCTTCTCCTTGTCTTGCTTCTCCGACTTCTCTGGCTGTTGCTGCTCCTCCTCGTCGCTGCTGTCGTCAGTTACCTCCTCAATTATCTCCTCATATTCGCTGGCACTGCTCTCTTCCTCTGCTTCTTTGGCAGCGGAATTCTCACCGCCTGCCTTGACACTTTTTACCTCTACGAAGGTTCGCGCGCGCGGGTTCGTTACGAATATTTGTATGAAAATCAAGAGTGTGTGCATGAGTGTGAAAGAGATAGAGGCAGAGATAAAGAGATAAAGAGAGAGAGAGAGAGAGATATTTATGTATATATGTATTCATTAAAGAGTAAAAACACAACGAGTAACGGCAACACTTGGGCTGGGACACAGTAAGCAAGGCGTTCGAAACAGGATAACAGAGCTCGGTCACGTTCATCTGTTCAACTCGTTCGTCGACACAACGAGTGCGAGTTGTGAGAGTGAGTGAGTGAGAGAGAGAGAGAGAGAGAGAAATTGGAATTTTGGGAGCAGGTTTCAGGGCTTTAATTGGGCGCTTGGGCGAAGACAAGGCAACAAAACAACGAGAGAACAAGAAAAAAAAAAAAAAAACAACAACGTGAAACAACGAGCAAAATGCGCTTGGACGAGTGACACGTGACAGCAAGAGTGAGCAACGAGTGAACGTTGTAACGAGTGAGCTTTCAGCGAGTCCAATGATAACGAGTAAGCTTTCGGCGAGTGAACGAGCTCAGCGGACAGCGACAGAGACAGAACGTGGAAAGCTGCAAATATAACGAGCAAATACTCTGCGAGTGAGCTCTGAGGGAGCTCGGTAAGAAAATGTAACGAGAAAATGTAACGAGTGAGCGTTAAATGCTTTCAAATTTAACGAGTACAGATTGCAACGAGTAAACGTTGAAGAATAATCTTGGATATATCACGCTAGCATTGAACGAGTCCAAATGTAACGAGTGCAGATTGCAACGAGTAAACATTGGAGAGTAGCGAGAACAATCGGATATAAATAGAAAGCTTGAATATAACGAGCACAAGCTCAAGTATAGTGAGAATCGTTGCAATGAGCAACGAGTTAGCTTGGATATATCGAGTAATTTTTGCGACGAGAGAACGTTGCGAAAAAATGTACTATTCATAGCGAGTAAATGTTTGGCGTAAGCAATCAGCGAGTAGAAGTTACGAATAATCGCTAAGGAATAGCGAGCAAGCGCTCAGAGAGTCAACATTGAAAGTTCAGCGTGTTTAGGCTTGGCGACGACACTTGGGATTGGCGAGAAAACATTGAGAACGAGTTTAACGAGAGCTCAACAAATCGAAACAAGGAACGAGTGTTGAGAGAGCGAGAGAGAGAGAGAGAGAGAGAGAGAGTAAAACGAGTAAAACGGGAAACGATAATGAGAACATTTTAAGAACAGAACTGATGAGGAGAGGACATAAGACTTGATGAAGAGAACGATGCAAATGTGACTGATGAATGAGGCATGATGAAAGATGACGAAACGAATTCATAGGCAATACCTGCACTGATTTAACGGAATTACTTTAGGCTAGCTACGAGTATGCGCTGTTTTGCATATCTACAAGATACAAATACAGAATCGCAATCAGAATGCTAGATAGACTAGAGAGAGAGAGAGAGGGGGAGTTAAAGAGTGTGTGTGTGAGAGAGAGAGAGAGAGAGAGTGAGAGAAACCACTTAACAAATGATTGAATATTTTTATTGATTGTTTTTCTTTTCTTTTTGCCAAAGACTTCTGTGGGTTAGTGCTTGGCATTTGCTGTGGTTAGAGGTGAGAGAGCTAGAGAGAGTGAGAGAGAGAGAGAGAGGGGGAGAGGGCGAGCGGCTTCTGGACTCACCTTCGCGTTCCGCCATAAGTTCGCGTAAACGTGCACGGATCTTGCGACGCTCCTCGTACGTGGACGCCTGCTCCAGCTGCAAGCAGGAAACGGCATGTCAGAGTTAAAGCTATGGGCGGGGGGAGGGGGGGGGGCGTGGCTTACCAATTGCCTAAGTAATTGCTCGTCCCAAATTTCCTCGATGTCACAAGTTGTGCGTGTAACTGGTGCTGAGGACGTTGTTGTTGTCTTTCGGGTGTTGCTGCTGCTGCTGATGTTGTTGTTGTTGCTGCTGCTGCGCTGTTGCTGCGTTGTTTTCACCTGAAATGAGCAAAGGCAATTGATTTGCTGCTTTAACTGTTCGCTGTTTTTTCTTTTGGTTTGGTTTTTCGATTTTCGTTTTTTTTTTTTTTTTTTTTGTTTATCAACCGGAAAATTTGGTTCGCTGACGCCCACAGACGACGGCGAGAAAAGCGAAACGCCAGCTGTTTATTTGGCTAAATAAAGGCGATGAGCACATACGCCGGCAACGGCAGCCAAATTTATTTAGCAGAAAGAAAAAGAAAAGCAGAACAAGTTTTACCCACTGATCGACCCTGATCGAACCGAATGATAAGAGGCAGACAGACAGAAAGACAGAGAAAGAGAGAGAGGTGCAGAAAGAGACAAGGAGAGGAGCGACGCGCACGCAGAGAGATCGAGAAGCGAAATCGTCGTCCTTAGCCATGGCTATTGATTTGCTTCCGTCTAATTGCTGCTAGCCAACGCCAACAACAATGTATGCTTGCAGCAGCATACTTGGCGTATGCGTAATGCGCACACAGCCACAGGCAAATATTGCGCATACGCCGCATGGCCATGCGAAAGAAGGAAATTGAAATGAAATGAACTGGCGAGATAAGAAAGAAAGTGAACAAAGAACTCAATGGATTGGCCAGGTAACTAAGGTGAGGCTATAACCGTAAATGGATAGGGTTAGTTAGGAGCATACACAGTGAGGATACGCTATGAAGTGCGAGGAGTGTTATATAATTATTATCAATTGCATTTGCATTAGATCAGTTCGAGCTGAATTACTACAAAACTAAAGGCAACTAAATGTACAGGACAGTGCTTTTCAAACTGTGCTGCCAAACTATAGAGCCATAAGTGGGCGTGGCTTTGTTTAATGATCATGTGTACAAGTCAATGACTCTCTCACGGGACTAAAGGGACATACGTAATACCCTAGAGCTCAACTCTAATTAAATATCTATGCAGCAATGCTTCTCAAACTGTAGAAACCAAGTAAAATCAGCCGCGTAATGAAAATTTACAATAGGCTAGTATGACGCACATAATACCCTATACAATAGTACACCCAACAGCTGTAAAAAGTGCGAGCCAGCACTGCTAAAACTGTAAAACTGACAAGTGTCTTTCAAACTGTAGCTAAAGCTTTACATGCAGCTGAGAAATCTTTGGGAGCGGAGCTGGGCAGAGAGAGAAAGAGACAGACTAACTATATCAATCAACTACATCTGTGTCACATGCACATATACATACACTCACACACAGACACGCACTCATAATACCCTGTACAAAACGCACCAAATAGCTAAGTATGTGCTACTCAAACTGTAAGCAACTGCAATGTCTCTCAAACTGTTGCGAAAGTATCTCACACAGAGTTGGAAATTCTTGTTCGATTAAAGGCAGTGGGCGTGGCTCCACTTGACTCCCCTTCAGCTTGCCAAAACTTTCCACACATCACAAAAAGAATTTTGAAAAGCCTCAATTCAACTTTTGACAAAACCTTAAACTATGCAAATAGAGCATATTATATGTATGTATATGTGTTGTAGCTGCGAGTCTATGAGCCAAAATAACAAAAAATAGCGACGTTCACTTTAGACCAAATTCACGGCTCAAATTTGGAGCAGCTATCAAAACGCTTTGCCGCTTGAACTGGGTCGCGTTAAAAGAAAGTTCGCACTTTGTTGCGCTTCTTATTCTTGTGCCTCTTCTTCTTCCTCTTCGTCTTGTGCTTTAACAAAGAACCTTTACTCACTTTTGTACAGAATTCGTTTAGCTCTTGGCCAAAAGATAACAAAAAAAACAAATTAAGTTAAAGTATTTTTTTATTTATTTATGTTAATTTCAAAGACATTCGCAAAGCATTCTGAGCGAAGCCATCAAAATTTCGAATACGATTCTTATGCTAATTGGAAGAGCAGATTTCATTTCTTTTTAGATCATTTAGAACATGTAGGGCACAGAGACAAAAGAGCGAGCGGGTGAGTCGAGGCAGGGGCAGGGGCGAAAGCAGGAAGTATGGGCAAATAAATTTTACATTTTATATTCATTTCCATTTGCGTGAGCACATTAGTATAATAAAAAGGGAAATTTCATTAAGTATACGCAGCGTTTGACCGCAATTGACTTGCATGCAAAAAAAAAAAAAAAAAAAAGATATTAAGAGAGAAACAAAAAATCATAAATTGAATTCCTTTTGTGTCGTGTTTTTGTTTTTGTTTTTGTTTTTTTTCAATTTCAACAACAACAACAAACTTGGACAGCTGTGCGCGTCTCTTGCGCCCTGCGGCCACGCCCACGCGCATTACGATACCTAAATGCCCATTGAAAATCGTATAAGCCCAGCGGGTATATTGATATTGATGGGAAGTTGATGCATGCAGGCGGATAAGCTTGGCTCCTGTTTTTCTACTCCGGTCTGGATTCGATCAAGAAATCTCTATATACCTAGTTCCAGTTTGATGATAAGCAACTACGTCTGTAAAGCTGAGTTCTTTAAGTAGATCTTTATACATATATGTAGTCATATCGATAAATATCATATAAATATTAATTGTCTTATACAGTAAAACATTCAAAACTTGTATCGATAGCTGATTTATCGACTTTACTTGTTCTTCCTGTTAATCGAATTACATGAATCGATAGCTATGACAAATTTATCGAATATCAATAACAAATTACTCGATAACACATACCATATATCATATTTATAGCATATATAAAATGATTATTCAACCAAAAACTTTCGATAAATGCCAATTTCGCCTTTACAGCGTATCTTCTCGTCCATCATTTAGAATCGGGCGCACGTTTGATGCTTTGCTCGCTTGTTTATAACAAATTTGACCAAATTTGGCCAGCACAATTATTCAAAAATAACAACACGAGCAACAGGCAACAACAACAACAATTTCGAATATATTTTCAGAAATTTTCAGTAAAAAAAAAATTTTTTTCGAGAGTTGAAAATTGGGAAAATCGTCGAGAGCGACGCCGACCAAAAAAGCAGAAACACGCGTTGCTATTTTTAGCTAGAAATTAATTTAGGCAATACACACAATCAACGCGAGAGAGCGAGAGAGGGAGAGCGAAAAAGAGAGAGAGCTAGAGAGGAAGATAGAGAGAGAGAGAGAGAGAGAGCTCACTTTTTCATATTTTCGATTATACGCATTAACAAAAACGTTTTACTTAACTAAATATATAAATATACATATAATTGTATATTTATATACATACATATCTTGGGGATATGCGCCAGCCAAAGGGTATTATAATTGGGTCAAATCACATCTAACGGCATTTCGGGTCGAAATGCAATAAAAAACCCAAATCGTATGAAATACACGCGAGTCTATACACAAAATTTGGAAGATCTACAGATGCACGAGATAAAAATCTAAAACTAATATACTGAATATACTTATATGTGCCACGCCTACTTCTGCCTGTCAGATCGGAACAAAAACATTTCCCATCTTCAATTTGACAGCAATTTCGTTTCTTTTTCTTTTTTTAGACTTAACAAAAGGCAAACAAACAATAAATATTTAAATAAATATAC